ATTTTCTCAGGAATTATTTTGAAGAATTTTAATAAGATTCGCGGCAAAATTTCAATTATTTTCAAAAAATTTCCTCAATTCAATTATTTTCATAAATAATAAAATTCTTCTAAGAAATTCAATTATTTTAATAAATAATAAAATTCTTCTCAGGAATTCAATTATTTTAATAAATAATAAAATTCTTCTTAGGAATTCAATTATTTTAATAAATAATAAAATTTTTCTCAGAAATTCAATTATTTTTCGAAATAATTATTCTTAAAAATTCTATTAAAATTTCTTAAAAGAATTTAATTATTCTAAAAAATAAAAAAATTCTTCTCAGGATTTCAATTATTTAAAAAAAAAATTTTATATAATTCGTTGCAAAAATCGCAATTATTTTCATAACTTATTAAAATTATCATAGGATTTAAATTATTTTTAATATAATTTTAAATGAATTCTTTAAAATTAAAATGCAATTATTCTTAAAAATAGGAATGAAAATCATGGGAAGATTTCAATTAATTTCAAAGATTTTCTACAATTTAATGATTTTTAATATCTACTATTATAATAAAATTTTCCAATTGAATTCAATTTTTAAAAAAAGAAATTTATTTTGATGAAATTGTATTCAAATATTTGATTATTTTTATGAATAAATAAAAAATTTCCCCGAATTCAATTATTTGCCAATTTTTTTTATAAATTTCTTCGCAATATTTCAAGTATTGTCATAAAGAATAACATTTTTTTAGGAATTCAATTGTTTTCATAAATATTAAAACTCGTCGAAAGAATTCAATTATTTAAAAGTTTGTAGATACAATTCTTTATGAGAATTCAATTTTAAGAAACATTTAAATATTCAATCAATTATTTATTTTTATATTTAAATAATTGAACTCTCGTATAATTTTTGTCTTATTGTTCTCGTCATCATCTTTCACATTGTTCACTCTTCTTCAATAATAATCCTTAAAATTTACCATTCGCAAATTTTGACATGAATTATTCTTGATATTTTAGGAAAATTTACTAGTTAATTAAAATAACGTTTTACATCATTTATAACTTGAGGATTATTTATATAATAATGGTAATAATATTAATAATAATAATGATAATAATAATAATAATAATAATAATAGTAATAATATAAATATTGACCACAGTAACTGTTACCATATTCGAATTTGAAAATTGATTAGCATACTTAATTTGAGAATGAGAGTCCATTATAATTAATTATTTCAGTCTATTTATAGTGATTTTGAAATTTCATGGTGTGTAATAAATATTTCACAAAGGTGAGATAGTATAGTGTATTTTATTACATACTAAATAATTATGGTTAATGGGAAATAATGTACTAATATATAATCTCTCTTTTGAAAATTAGCTTAATTAGAATTTAATTAATTATTATAGGCATTAAATAATTATAATTTGCGATAAATAGAGCAATAACTAATTATTTTAAAGCAATGCTTCAAAAACAATATATCATCATGAAGATTTTTAATAATACAGTAAAAAAGAAAATTTATTCGATTTAAATAAAATTATTAGTAAAAAATTTTATTTTTCTATTATTAATAATATTTAAATTATTATTAATAATAATTTCTTATATTTTTTAATAATTTTAAATATATAAAAATACATAACAATAATTATAACACCAAAAAGAAACAAAAAGAAAATAAATAATTTCTATTACTAGGTATTTAGATACCTATTATTAATAATAATTTCTTATATTTTTAATAATATAATAAAAATATATAAATACATAACAATAATTATAGCACTAAAAAGAAAAAAAAGAAAATAAATAATTTCTTTTACAATTTTGTTTATTTTTATTTAGTAATTAAAAAATTAATTTAAAGTCTCTAGTAACAATTTTAATTGTAAAATTTGTATCACTTGTTTTATTAAATTTCCATAAGTAAACACGAATATAATTTAGCAATTAAAAAAATAATTTAAAGTCTCTAGTAACAATTTTAATTGTAAAATTTGTATCACTTCTTATATTAAATTTCCATAAGTAAACACAAAAATAATAATTAATATAATAATAGTAAATAATATAAAATTAAATAAATAAATGCAATTTAATAAATAAATATACATTAATGATACATAAAAATAATAAAAAATTTAATACAAAAATCTAAAATAAAATTTTCAACTCTTAAATCTAAATTATAATTAATATTTTCGATTAGTGTGTAGTAATATAAATTCTAATTTTCCATTCTATTATTATTGTTAAATTCAATTAGTGCTGAAAAATTTAAATTACCAAAACTTCTTAATTGCTTAAAATTGATTATAATTGTTTATATACATATATATATATATATATATATATATATATATATATATATATATATATATATATATATATATATATGTATATATGGTATTGAATTTAATTTATTCTCTCTGATCTTCGAAACGAGGGAAAAGTTGTATTACCTTCCGAACGAGTTTGAAAATACAATAATAGATGCCATTTCTGCAATCCTCGAAGTTTAGAACAGATTTACGTCACAAATTGATGTACCATTTACTTTTTTGTTTATTATTATAGCGTCCTCATCAAATAATTAAATGAAAGCGAAAAGTTACCCCTTTAATGTTATATACATGATATTAAATTTTGATATTTTATTAACCGCAACTAAAATTGAAATTATTATTTATAAAATAATTAATTTAATATTAAAAAAATATTAATTATAATTATAATTATTATTAATTTTTATTATTTAATATTTTCGTGTCATTAGTATGAAAGTACTTTTGATTGAAAAATTTAATTTGAAATCCGTTTATGGTCAAATAAATAAATAATTATTATTATTATTATTATTATGTTTATAATTTTGGATAAAATTAATTACTTGACAAATTTTTACAAATTAAGAAAAATGTTCAGCTTTTAAAAAACATTATTTCAGAAAAAGTAAATTTTAAAAAAATGTAAAAACAAATGAAAATTGTATTAAAAATAATTTTCACTAAGAATTTTTATTAAATAAATAATAAATAAATTTAAATCAATATTTAATATGAATTAATTTAATTCTTTGATTCCAAACTTTTTATAAATAATTTTTCTTTATGAATGTTTTTAATTTTAAAACTAATGTATGAAAAATCATCCAATTCTTGAAAGAAATGTAATAAAAAAATTTATATAATTATAAAATTCTATATAATTATAATTTATTTATAAAAATAATTGAATTCTTGATAAGAATTTAAACAAAAATTTCGAAAATTCTAAATAAATTCTTTTCAAGAATTATTTCTTGGAATTTTTTTTAAATAATGGATATTTTTTAATAATTTTAATTGAAAATTTTGAAAGTAATTGAATTTTTTAAAGAATTTCTCTCATGTTTTTACAATAATCGTGTTTGTTAATAGTAGAAATTAAAAATTTTGATTATAGAATTTTATTCAAATTTTTAGAAAATAATTGAATTCTTCTCAGAATTTTATTATAATTTTTATAAATAATTTAATTCATTCAAGGAATTTTATTAAAAAAATTGAAATTCATTGAATTCTTTCAAAAAAGACGTATTATTAAAGACTCTGACAATAATTGAATTCTCTCAAAAAATTTCTTTAATTTTTTTTTAATATAATCGATTTTGTCAATAATATTGTCATTAATAATTTTACTATTAAATTTTATTTAAAAATTATTGAAAGAAAATTAAATTCTTCTGAACAATTTTATTAGAGTTTTTTTTTGTGAATAATTAAATTTTTTTGAAGAATTGCTTTGAGTTTTTTGAAAATAATGTATTTTTTAACTAATTTTTAATGAAAATTTTGAAAATGATTGAATAAAACAAAGAATTTTCTTCAATTTTTTAAAATTAATCTTGTTTGTTAATAAATAAAATTAAAAATTGTATTATAGAATTTTATAAAAATTGTATTGAAAATAATTGAATTTGTGAGAAGAATTTTATTATTTATAAAAATAATTCAATTCTCATAAATAATTGTCATCAAAATTTTTCAAAATAATTAAATTTCTGCTAAGAATTTTATTAAAATTCTTTAAAATAATTAAATTCCTGCGAAAAAATATATAAATTATGATAATAATGGAATTTTTAATTAACTTTTCGAAAGTAATTGAATTTTTTTAAGGAAATTAATTACAATTTTATTGAAAATATTTCAATTCTCAATAGAGTTTAATCAAAATTTTTTAAAATAATTGAATTATTTTCAAAAATTTATTAAAATTTTAGAAAATAATTAAATTCTTTCAAAAAATTTTCTTAAAAATTGAAAAAAAAATTGAATCCTTTCGTGAAATTTTATTAAAATTGCATTGAAAATAATTGAATTCTTCCGAAGAATGTTATTGTTGAAGAAAATAATTGAATTCTTGCAAAGAATTTTATTAAAATTTTTCACAATCATAAACTATAATAATTAATTAAAAAATCGAATTTAACGATCACTTCGAGTTAAGGTTAATAATAATTAATTATGTAATTAATAAATAATTTTTTTTTAAATTTTGAATCTAAAATTATTCAGAACATAAAGTTAAAATTTGAAAATAAAAACATTTGTTAATAAACATTATTTAAGAAAAAAGAAATGCTGGTAAAAGTGTAAAAACTATGAAAAATTGAATTAAAAATAATTTTTACTAAGATTTCTTACAGTAAAAATTATTATTAATTATTATTTTCAGTTTCATATTAAAATGGTGTTGAAATAAAAAATAATTGTCAATAAATTCTAGTTATTTTATTATTATATATTATAATATTATATTTTTGTTAAAGAATAATTACGAAACGTTAAATCATGAATGAACACCAAAGAAAAGAATCGAAAAGATTGAATATCAAAGTATTGACGTATTTTCAAATTTTCCCGGCAGTGAAATGCGCGTACGCGCCCAGAATTCATTGCGCGCCTTGATAGGTGGCGCCACCGTTTGATGGCGTAGGAAATCATTGAGCAGGCAAGACGTCGCTGCAGAGAGTCGCGACTGGGAAAGGATAGAAATTTGTACTTGTTCGTGAAGTGATTTGAGTTTTTCGCTTGTGTCGTGTAGAGTGTAATGCTTTTCTCTACCTTTTCATCATTTTAAAAGTGAAGTGTTGATGCTACGATATCAGACAACAGTAGCCAATGATTAAGGAGTGCCTTTAGGTAATGTTTTTTTTAATAAAAATGGAAAAAAAATTTCATTCTTTTCTCGTGCTGCAATCGACCAACACTGGAAAGCCCGGTGTTGCCACCATAACTCCCGTTTCCACGCCGCCGGCATCGCATGTGTTGTGTGCATTGTGGTGATTTTCATTCTCCGAATTGAAATGCAATTTTCTTATTCGCAATTTTTCCCGTCGGTGTATTTTAGCAAACGGAACGCCCATTTTTTAAATTTTCCCAATTCATCCATTTTTCGTATATGGATTTCTCTCTCTATCACTCAGTGACGCTCGTGGCCAAAGACAAGTGACTAAACCGGAAATTTTGTAAGAAAAAAAAATAAAAGAAAGAATTCGACGCCATGCAAATTTAGTGACAGGTATTTTTTTTAGGTTAGAAAACGTTATGACAAGTAACAGTGATATCTGTTTCGTAGGAGTATTTCTTTCTATTGCCCCAGGTGAATTTGCTATTTTTTCCTGCAATCTCTTAATGCGTCTCGCTGGTCTTGCTAATAGTGACAATTTAACCAAATTCGTTTACATGGTTCTGAATATTCGTATTTTTTCTCTAATATAAAAAGTGTTTTCGAATTCAATTCAATTCGAAATAAATAAATTCCTCGTAGAGGAAAAATGTGTGATGTGTTTCTTTTTCGCTAAAATTGTTGAAAAGTGGTAATTGAAACTTTCACCATGGAGATTCGGACATAACTCGTTATCAAGTCGTGCGTAGCATAATTTGTTCTCTACGTAGGTACTACGCTAGTATTTGGCATCCGTTTTGTTATCTGACCCCGCAAAAGAGAGATATAAACAGCATTTAAGAGTTTAAAAATTATTCACAATGAAACTTTCTTCTTAATTACGAGAAATAAATTTTAACCTAGACAGTGTATTTTTAATTTTGACATCTTTTTTAATGAAAAAAAAAATCTAATCCACTTATTGAATTTTCTTTTCAAAACTAGTTTTCGTTCTCATTTGTTAATTTTCCCTTTGATTAGAAAGAGGCGAGAGCAAGCAATGGTTTTATTGAAAGCTTCCGGCAACAAATGAGCCTGATTTTTCTTTCATTTTGGCATAAAAATGTGCATTGTTTGCCGAAAGAAAGGAAGTTCTATTTTGGTAAGAGCGAAATTCTACATATTTGTGTTCCCCTTGCTAATTGTTCGGAGCTGCAATTTATTTCGGGATTATTCGTATGGAAAATATTCGGTAAAATTCGCTTAGTTTTATTTACTTATTATTATAATTAATAATTATTTATTTATTTATTTACAAGTATAAATGGAACAAATAATAATAATTATTATAGTTATAGGAAAGGAAATTATTATTTAGTGTCGGGACAAGTCGTTTATTTAATTATATTTTGAACACAATTATCGTTGTAGTTGTCATTAGTGTGAAGTTAAATAATTTTAATAATGTCGTGAATAAGTTCGTCATTCTTTTATTCCGGATGATTGTTTTTTTTTCTTAACACACACAGACATGTACACAAGTGAATGTACAATAGAACCAGATGTTTGTTGGGCTTTTGCACTTTTACAGAGCAGGTTGTCTCTCCCCCAGCTTTTGGAGCAAGAGCAAATGCATAGGATGGGAAACGTTCTTCGCTCGCAATTTCCAGACAGAATACTTCCACACGTACCATGTGTATTGTATCTTCATATAAGTACATATATACTCTTTTAGAGTACATTCTCTCTAGCTCTCTGTAACGGACCAACCGGCAATCTGTAGTTCCCTCTCACAGTGACGGATACGAAAGGGGGAACTCTTATTTGTTCACCACGTGTTCCCTTCTAGCTTCTTTTTGCTCCTCCTTCTCTTCGTCTTCTTTTTTTTTATAAAAAATAACCCATTTTTTTAGCAAACGCTATTTCCTCCACTCTGACAATATGTATACGCTTTTTGATCTTTCGTTCACATCTTTTTATTTGGAGACGAAATTTTTTCTCTCAAGTTTCATTCGATTAAAATTATTTTCTAGTTAATTGGTAATAGACAAATGGTTCTCCCAGGTCAGGGAAAAATTAGGGAATTTTATTAAAAGTATTGGAAAACATTAAATTTTTAGAATTCATAAGAAAATTCGGAATTTTGGTGTCTTTTTCTGCTCGCCTCATAAACTGTGAAATTCCCACGAATTCTAAATCGAAATCTATTTTTTCCATTTCTGACAATAATTTCTTTTTAAATAACTTAATTCTTGGAGAACTATCAAAATTATTACTTAGAAATTATTTAATGAATAATTTTACTTAAATATTTCAAAATTAATTGAATTTTAAAAGAGTTGCGTTTACAATTTTCATAAATAGATGAACTACAAACGGTTTTCATTTGAAATTTTATAAAATTTTATTATATAAAAATGTTAATAATTGAGATTCTCCCGAAATTAGTTACATTCTTTAACATAATATTTAATTAGTTATTAAAAGTAATGGATTTATAGTAGAATTTTAGTTAAAAATACTAAAAAAAATTGTATTTTGAAGAAGTTAGAAATTATTGGAGAAATTCAATTATTTTTAAAAGTAATAAAATTCTTCTCACAAATTGAATTATGTTCAAAAATTTAAAGAAGTTCTCGTCAAATTTTCAATTATCTTTATAAATAATAAAATTATTCTCCGAAATTCAATTATGTATTTTCAAAAATTTTTTCTCAATTCAATGAATTTCAATATTTACTATTTTAATAAAATTTTCCAAAATAATTCAATTATTTAAAAATGTTTTTATAAAATGCATGGCAGTAATTGAATTTTTTTTAAAAAATTTAATAACATTCTTCATTTATTTTTAAAAATAAAAAAAGTTTCTCAAGAATTCAATTATTTTTAATACAATTTTAATCAAATTCTTTTCAAGAATTCAATTATTTTCATAAGCAATAAAATTCTTCTAAGAAATTCAATTATTTTTAAAAATTATAATAAGATACGTTGCAAGAATTTAATTATTTGCATAAATAATAGAATTCTTCTCAGGAATTCAATCATTTTTAAAAATTATAGTAAAATACGTTGCAAGAATTCAATTATTTGCAGAAATAATAAAATTCTTCTGAAAAAATCAATTATTTTTAAAAATTTATTAAAATTCGTTGCAAAAATTCAATTATTACCATAAATAATAAAATTCTTCTCAGCAATTTAATCATTTTTAAAAATTATAGTAAAATACTTTCCAAGAATTCAATTATTTGCATAAATAATAAAATTCTTGTTGGGAATTAAATATTTTTAAAAATTATATTTAAATACGTTGCAAAAATTCAATTATTTGCATACCTAAATAATAACATTCTTCTGAGAAATTTAATTATTTTTAAAAATTATAATAAAATACGTTGCAAGAATTCAATTATTTGCATAAATAATAGAATTCTTCTCAAGAATTCAATCATTTTTAAAAATTGTAGTAAAATTACTTATAAATTTTTAATAACTTTCTTCGCAAGAATTTCATTATTTTCTTAAATAATAGAATTCTTTATACGATTTCAATTGTTTTTATAAATAAAATAATGATTTTATCACTTTCGCTCATCTTTAATTATTAAAAATTATGAAGAAAGCGATCACTTCGAGTCGAAGACTCGGAGTAATCGATATCTTCATGTATTTTATATTAATATTTTTATAAATTATTGAATTTCAAAAATCTTTTTAAATCAAAATTTAATTTTTGTCGCAACTCTAAATTACTAATTATTAGTAAATAAATAACTACGGAAATAGTGAAATTTCTTCTTGAATTAATTACTATAAACTGAAATTTAGAGAGATTATTATTTGTCGGAATTTTTCTTCCTAGACCATTATTAATGGGAATTTTTCTTCATAGACTTATTATTAGTGAGAATTTTTCTTCCTAGACCATTAATTGTGAGAATTTTGAAAATTTTCTTGAAGCAAAATATTGTCTTGGTTCGTTTACTATGAACAAGGTGCGATTTGCCCCAGTAATCGCTAAATATCAAGCAATGAAATTGGGCCATGATCTGCCTTCTACCGTGAAATAACTTTCTTGTTCAAGAAACGACCAGTTTTTCGAGAAAAAAAATCACGTTTATTTTCGATTATCAAATTTTCCTCTACTATTGAGAAAAGTGTTCTCCAAAATTCTTCCCTGCAGACTTTAGTAGATATTATATAATTTTTTTCGACTTTTGTACCAAATCAGGTTTCAAATTAGAAATTTTTAAAAATTTTGTGAGAAATCTGAGTAAAATAAATGACTTTTCGACTCTTTGGGCCATTAATTGACTAAAATGACTCTTTTGCACCTTGAAGTCGTTCCGAGACTTGTTCCCTTTTTAAATCGTTGGATTGCGTGTACAGATAACAATTGAAATTAACTTGTCCAAATGTTTGCTTTTGAATTTATCAATTTTAAACAGTAAATATATATTCTCAATTAGTAAATATTTTTACAAATAGTAAACATCCAAGTAGTAAATATTTTTCCAAATAAATATTTGTACTCAAAGGTATATACTTTTTCAAATTTCGACTCCAGTTCCCCACTTGTGGAAAACTTATTCGCAAAGCTGTAATTTAAAATTTCATCGTCGCATAGATTTTCGCTTATTCGCTTTTGCACTAAAATTTGAGATCTCGTCTCTAATTAGTGTTATATATAATTTGGAAAATTTACTGTCGAAACATTGACATCAAACAGTTTTATGCATTCAAAGAAGTGAGATAAATTATACTTTTCCTTTCATTCCAAACAGAGGGAGAGAGAGAAGTACACTTTATTTGCACATTGGAAAGAAAAATATCTCAAGGTTCGAATGCGAAACTATCCCGAGGAGTTTCTTAACTTTTGTGTGTATAAAATTGTGACGCCTGAGAATTTATCTCGAAGAAAATGTCTCGACGTTCGTAACAGGTTCAACTAATGATTCGCAGTGTGTACGGGATGTCGAGTTAAAGATTCTTTTACAATCCTTTCTAGTTTGCACTTGGTTGTATTCGATACCGTTAATTTTCTCTCGATATTCTTTTTGTTTTTTTTCCTTCTTCTTTTTCCTCTTCTAACCCCTTTCGTGTCGCTCATATAAAACGTCAACTGGCTTATCGTCTTTTTGAAATACGACGACACATCGAAAACTTGAAACTCTGTCCTAAAGAGAACGAATCCAACGATTTCAATTCTTTATGAAGTAGGGTAATAGCGAACTCGAAGAGTTATTACCGTTGCGGCACTTCCATTCAAGTCCAACTTCTCTCGGATAATATTCTTTAACGATTTTTTTTTCTTTACTTATTTCAAAAGTTGAAATTTTTATATTAAATATTTTGGGAGTTCTAGTCAAATTTTGAGATTGAAATTTGATTTGATTTTCGAATGAGATTAAATTTTAGTAATTCGTTATATTTTTGATCCCTTAATGTTAGCGTCGATGCTCAGCGTCGGAAAACATTTCGGGCCTCGCTCTCTAAATCTGAATTAGTAAAAATGTTTAGTAATTTGAATTAGCGATGGACTTTTTGCTTTTGAATTAGTAAAGTTTACTAAATAAATAGTAATTTCTACTAATTTATTAGTAAAATTTACTAATTCAAATTTAGAGAGCGGTCTCACGTGAATATTGATACTTTTTAACACTTTTTTCCACCTCTTAGAACTATTTAGCTACTATTTTATAAATACTATATTATTAAGAAATTAAATTTCATTAATTGTAAAATTATTATTTTATAATATAAGAATATTGTTACTGCAACTTCTTCATTATTAGTTTCATTATTTCAATTCAATTGTTTTCTACAATTTTTATCTAAAATTCTTCTTTAAAATATTTTAAACAATTTTTGACAATGTTCTTTGAGAATTTTCAAATCCATTTGTTTACAATTGAATTTTAAAAAATTTAATTGATTATTTGTCAATTCTTCAATTTATTGTTTATTAGAAAATAAAAACTTGAAATAATTTCAAAGAAAATTAAATTGAACTTTAAAACAAATTAATTCTACAGAATTGTTAGTTAAAAGTATGAAAAATTTATATTTTTAAAGATTTTAATTTGATCCCTTTTCAAAATTTAATTAAATCTAAAGATTCACACTATTATGCTGTTAATATTCAAATATTACCTAAAATTTTAACTGAAATAAATTTTTAAATCAATTTTTCTTAGAAAATTCAACGAGAATTCAATTATTTAAATACAAATAAAATGCGAACAAATAATTTATTGAATAATTGAATGTTTCTTAAAATTCAATACTCATAAAGAATTTTATCGATAAATTTTTAAATAATTCAATTCTTTCGATGAATTTTAATAACATTTTTAAGAATAATTACATTTTTCGTGGAATTCGATTAAAATTGTGTTAAAAATAATAATTGAAATTCTGCGATGAGTTTCAATATTTATATGAAAATAATTGAAAGCCTAAAAAGAATGTTATTTTTTATTATAATAATTGAATTCCTGCAGCAAATTTTAGCAAAATTTTTAAACATAATTCAATTCCTCAGGAGAATTTTATTATTTATGAAAAAATAAGTGATAATTTGTGTACAGAATTTTATTAAATTATTTTTAAAATATTTGAATTTTTGGGGAAAAATTTTATTATTTATGCAAAGAATTGAATTCTTGTAATGTATTTTATTAAAATTTTTAAAAATAACTAAATTTCTCAGAAAATTTTATTATTTTTGCTAATTATTAAATTCGTGCAACGTATTTTATTATAATTTTTAAAAATAATTGAATTCCTGAGGAGAAGTCCATTATTTATGCAAATAATTAAATTTTTGCAACGTATTTTATTATAATTTTCAAAAATAATTGAACTCCTCAGGAGAATTCTATTATTTATGCATATAATTAAATTTTTGCAACATATTTTATTATAATTTTTAAAAATAATTGAATTTTTGAGAAGAATTTTATTATTTATGAAAATAAGTGAATTCTTGCGAAAAATTTTATTAAAATTGTTTTGAAATTGAAAATAATTGAATTTTTGAGAAAAATTTTATAATTTATGAAAATAAAAGAATTCTTGCAAAGAATTTCATTAATTTTTTTTTTAAACAATTGAATTACTTCGTATAATTAAAAAAAAAATTTAATAATTTAATTCTTTTTGGAATTTATATTAAAATAGTTGATATTTTATTAAAATTTTCGAAAAGAATTGATTTTAAATAAGAATTTTAATATTTATGTTAATAATTGCATTCTTGTAACGAATTTTACTAAAATTTTAAAAAATAATTTAATTCCTCAGAAGAATTTTACTATTTATTAAAGTAATTGAATTCTTGCAAAGAATTTTTAAAAATAATTAAAATCCTGAGAAGAATTTTATAAATATATATATTTTTAAATAATTAAAATCTTTTAGAAAATTTTATTAAAATAGTAGATAATTGAAAATCTTTGAGTTGAATAAAATTTTGGAAAAAAATGAAATTTTGACAAGAATTTTATTAAAATTTTGGAAAAGAATTGAATTTCAGAGAAGAATTTTATTATTTATAGAGATAATTGAAGTATTGGCGAGAATTTAAAAAAAAATTTTGATTTTAAAACTTCTAATAAACTGCATTCAAAATTGAAATTTTATAAAACTGTAAATCGAAACCTTTTGGAGTTAATTTATTTATGAGAATTTTAAACCTAACTCTTAAAATTTAATGAATTTTGAAATATTTAAGTAAAATTATTCATTAAATAATCGATAAATAATAATTTTATGATAGTTTTTCAAGAATGAAGTTATTTAAAAAGAAATTATTGTCAGAAATGAAAATATTTATGAGGCCAGCAAAAAAGACACCAAAATTAAAAACTTTTTTATGAATTTTAAAAATTTAATTTTTTCCAGTATTTTTAATAAAAATCCCTGACTTTTTTCTGCACTGAAAAGAAATTTATTTGATTCAAATAACCGATTAATTGACTATTATCAATTAAATATTTTTTTGAATAAAATAATATTTATTTGAGTCAATTAAATGGTATTTGAACCAATAATTTCAGTATTTGAATCAAATATGAACTAAACCATTTAATTGACTTAAATAAATATTATTTGATTCAAGTAAATATTTAATTAATAATAGTCAATTAATCGGTTATTTGAATCAAATACATTTTTTTAAATGTGATCTGTGGCAATCCTGATTATTAATGTTTAATTTAATTTATAAAATTATTAACGTCCATTTTTTCCTCTTTTTTTGCAGTGCAAAGACTGAAACTACCTGGAAGCGCTTAAGGAGCACCTCCCCGAAAAATCCTTCCGGTCAAAATCACACGCCTAACCTCTCCCTTATCCTCCTTATCCTCCTCCGAATCCTCACCTCCCACAGAATCCACGAAATTCTCATCATCCCACTGTGAACGTGTCCGCGACCTCGACATAAAAGCAATCATGGACGGCATGGATAACAACAAGCCGGTGTTGAACGATGACCCATCGGTCACGTTAACCATTCGCCTGATTATGCAGGGCAAGGTAAGCTAATTTCATTCTCTTTTTTTTCATCTCTAAACATTTTTCTTTCTCATGCAAATAATAAAAGTGTGCGCGTGTGTGTATATAAAATAGTAATATACACATACACACAAAGGCAAATCCATTACGGGTCACCCTCGTCTTTGACTCTTTTTGATGGAAGTGAAGCGTTATACACACGCCTTTCCATGTGAATAAGTGTAATAGTGTCACATTCATTTTCCACGAGGTTGCTAATTGACGCACACAGCCTGTTGCAGATCACTAAATGGGAACAGAGAGAAGGAGAGAGAAAGAGACCTGTTTCAAATGTGACTGCAATCTTTATATATTATATGCTACATAGTAAAATTATTTGAAAAGTCTCTTTTTTTTCGCTTCTTTTTTTCTGCTTCAACACATTCCAAACAGCACGTGATATTTTAGTCACGTTCTTGGAATATTGCACTTATGTTTTTAAATGTATTTTCAAAAAAGTAATTTGGCTGCATTTTTGATTATTTGGCGAAGAACTTTTCTATATTTTGTTTTGGAAAGTTAATTGGGTCGAAAGATATATATTTAAAACATTTCATCGAATCGTGAATTTTGGAAAAGTCTTAACTCCAAAAATCGTGAAGGTCATTTCCAGTGTATCTAATTTTATGTGTGAAAATAAGTCTCGATTTTTAGATTTAAGTCTTTTCAAATTCACAATTCAATTGTTTTAAACAATTAAAATTAAAATTTTCTTTTAATGTGGCCTAAATACGGTTGTTTTGATTCTAATTTTAATTGTTTTAAACAAGTTATTTGTTGTTGTTGAATTTCCTGTTACATTTAAACAAAAATTACAATTTTCTGACAATAAGATACAATTAAGGTAACATGACCTTAAGAAACGTTTATTCTGAATGAGAGAAAATACTAATTCTTTATTCGAATAACACTTTTAATTATTTAAAATGTTCTTCACCTTTCCATCAAAACAAGTTTAATTATTATTATTATTTTTTATTCTTAATTTGCAAAAATTATTGCATTGAACAAACGTTTGTTTTCATTATTCGTTCTCCCGTTTGAATTAGTATAAAAATGTTTATTAAATTGAATTTGTGACTGAAATTTTCCATTTAGTTTTTAAACATAATTGAAAATAAATAAAAAAACATTTTTTTCATTAACGTTTAAATGTTTAAAACTTAGGGAAATTATTTTTGCGACAAATTGAGTTAAAATTTACGTTAAAATTTTGTAATAAAATGCAAGAATTCAATTATTTTCATAAATAATAAAATTCTTCTAAGGAATTCAATTCTTTTTTTAAATTTTAATAAAATTAATTACAAGAATTGAATTCTTTGCATAAATAGTAAAATTCTTCTCAGAAATTAAATTATTTTTAAAATTACTTCGCAAAATTCTTGGCAAAATTTCAATTATTTTCAAAAAATTTTCCTCAATTTAATGATTTTAAAATCATATAATTTCATATAATTTTCCAAAAGAATTCGATTAGATTTATAAATTTCTTCGCAATAATTCAATTACTTAAACAAATTTTAATAACATTCTTCGCAAAATTTCACTTATTTTCATAAATAATAAAATTCTTTTCAAAAATCTTTGTAAAATTCGTTGCAAGAATTTACTTATTTTCATAAATAATTAAATTTTTCTAAGAAATTCAATTATTTTTGAAAATTTTTAATAAAATTTGTTGCAAGAATTCAATTATTAACATAAATAATAAAATTCTTCACAAAAATTCAATTATTTGCATACATATTAAAATTCTTCTTATAAATTCAATTATTATTAATGTAATTTTAAATGAAATTCTTAAAGAATGCAATTATTCTTAAAAAGTTTTTCTAAATTCTTTAAAAGAATTCAATTATTTTAATAAATAATAAATTTCTTCTCAAGAATTCTATTATTTTTATTAATAATCAAAAATCTTTTTCGAAATTCAATTATTCTCACGAATAGTAATAAGATTCTTGGAAAAATTTCAATTATCTTCAAACATTTTCCTCAATTTTATGATTTTCATAAATATAATAAAATTCTTGTAAGAAATTCAATTATTTTTTTAAATTTTAATAAAATAAATTACAGGAATTGAATTCTTGCTTAAATAAATAAATAAATTGCTGAGAATAATTTTAATTCTTCTCAGCAATTCAATTATTTTTAAAATTACTTCCCAAAATTCTTGGCAAAATTTCAATTATTTTCAAAAACTTTTCTTAATTCAATTATTTTCAATATCTATACTATTTTAATAAAATTTTCTAAAAGAATTCAATTATTTTAATAAATAATGAATTTCTTTTCAGGAATTTAATTATCATTATTATTAATAAAAACCTTCTCTGAAATTCAATTATTTTCAAGAATTGTAATAAGATTCTTGGTAAAATTTCAATTATCTTCAAACATTTTCCTCAATTCCATTTTTTTTGTAAATAATAAAATTCTTTTAAGAAATTCAATTATTTTTTAAATTTTAATAAAATTAATTACAAGAATTGAATTCTTTGCATAAATAGTAAAATTCTTCTTAGAAATTCAATTATTTTTTAAATTTTTAATAAAATTAACTACAAGAATTCAATTCTTTGCATAAATTAATAATAAAATTCTTCTCAGCAATTCAATGATTTTTAAAAATTGTCCTCAATTAAATGATTTTCAAATCTACTATTTTAATCAAATAAAATTTTAATATTAAATTTTACTATTTTTAAGGGAAATTTTTCCAAGTCCCAAGTTAATGCTACTAATTTTTTTCTGAAAAAATGAATGAGAAAAAATAAAATTCTAATTTATTTATTTTTAGTTTTTAAAACTGTTTGAACATAAATTGAAAAAAATTTGTTTATTAATGTTTGAAAGTTGAAAAGTTTACGAAAATTATTTCTGCGATAGATTGAGTTAAATTTTCATAAAAATTAATAATAAAAAATGCACTTTGGCCTTAGTAAAATTTACTCGCAGCAAACAGTAAAAGTTGTAAAGCAAGAACACGCAAATATTTGGCAATTTATCTCTTTCTTTGTAAATAGTAAAAGTCACTCTATAATTTCCTCCCAGCGTAAGATTTAGAGAGAGAGAGGTGTTTCGAAAAGCCTCTGGGAAAAAAATAACGAATAGAAATTGTCACTATTTGTACACGTGACAGTTTGTCATTTACACTGAAAAATTACAAATAAGTAAACATTTTCCATTAAATCCGTTATTTATAGGGAAAGTCCGTACTATAGAATTTTTATAGCAAAAATACTCAAATGCTGACCAGGAGAAAAAGCAAAAAAAAAAAAAAAAAAAAAACTGTCGATAAAATAACACGTCAAAACACTTTATCGTTTCCTATTCAAATACAAAATTGAATCCTCTTTCTCGGGATGAAATGCGCTTTTCCCTTTGTATAAGGGATTTTTTGAAAAGTCAGAGTTTCGTTCGCTTTCTTGTCGATACACTACATTTGAAACGGGTGTATTGTAAAAGGGCCGTCTTGGATTGACGGCGGCATCGAAAAGTACGAAATAAACTCGATGATTCAGAAGTACGCTCCTCTTGGCACGCATCCGTACCAAAGGATTTATTATTGACTCGGGTCATGAATACGCGACGTTCCACGTATGTGTGTGTATAAATAAATGAGTGTTTGTGTCATGCGTATATAAGTGTGTTGAGAAAAAGCTGACCGCAAATAGCTTCCGGGTATCAACGTTCCTTGCGAAGAATTAAATGCAATTTTATATCTTTTACTACTTTTGCGGGAGAGTATCGTGAATTTAATTAAGATTAGAACGGATTATTTCGACTAACCAGAAAGGAGCTTTTTTCGCACGTTCACCATATATATCATTCGAAATGTTTATTTCAATTTTTTTCCCACGGTCTTTTCATTTATTTGAGTACATTTTTTTGGGGAAAACTTTTTTTATTTTTTAAATTTATTAATTATTTTTTAATTTTGAATAATGTTTCCAAAGTTACGAAGTTAAAATTACGAGCGACAATATTTTTAATACATCTGTTAATTTGTATTTTTTTATTTATTTATTTCGCAATTAATAAACATTTTTAAAAAATCAGTTTTTTATATTAGGGGGAAAGTTTTTAAAAAAATTTAGTATAGCAGCATCAAATTTTAAACATCTCATAATTTATTAGAATTTTATAGAAGCAACGTTAGAGATTTTAAAAGAAACGAATTTTCAAAGAATTTTAATTCAATTCTTTAAAAATACTTGAATTTTAAAAATCAAATTAATTGAAATTGATTTGAAAATAATTGAATTTGTTAAAGAATTTCATTAGAGATTTTAAAGGAATCGAATTTTCATAAAGATTTAATTTTAATTATTACCTAAACTGATTGGAATTTTGTAAAATTAAATTAAGAATAATTGACTTTGTTGAAGAATTTCATTAGATATTTAAAAAAAATCGAATTTTTAAAGCATTTGAATTCCATTCTTTAAAAATACTTGAATTTTTAAATAAATGTTATTAAAAAATAATTAAATTAATTGAAAATTTGTGAAATTGACTTGAAAATAATTGAATTTATTAAAGAATTTCATTAGAGACATTAAAAGAATCGAATTTTCAAAAAGTTTTCAATTTTATTTATCAAATTAATTGAAATTGATTTGAAAATAATTGAATTTGTTAAAGAATTTCATTACAGATTTTATAGGAATCAAATTTTCAAAAAGTTTTTAATTTTATTTATCAAATTAATTGAAATTTTGTGAAATTGACTTGAGAATAATTGAATTTATTAAAAAATTTCATTAGAGATTTTAAAGGAATCAAATTTTCATAAAAATTTAATTTTAATTATCAATTTGATTGAAATTTTGTAAAATTGAATTAAAAATAATTGAATTTGTTGAAGAATTTCATTAGCCATTTAAAAAAAATCTAATTTTTAAAGAATTGGAATTCCATTCTTTAAAAATACTTGAATTTTTAAATAAATGTTATTAAAAAATATTCAAATT